CACTTTCCGCCACCAACCGTCTCTAGTCCGTATTTCCTGGCGCTTCTTTCACTCATCCCCGCTCTCCCTCCCACGAACAAAAACTGAATAAAAAATGGGCTTAAAAATGTAATTCACAGGAATGTACAGAAACCAATTCGAAAAGGACATTCCCTAACACCTACCTACCTACCTACACGAAACAAACACCAGTTACTACATTTACACCCACCGCACTGGTTGGCATTCACTTAAATGCTGTGAATTTGTCTGGAATAGTCCAAAGGATTTAAAAACGTTACGTTAAATACATTGGTAGACTTGCAAGTATAAATAAACATATAAATTTCTCAACTTTACATTTTATGAAGACACGCAAACATTATGACAAATTTATTTTTATACAAATAGATATTTGAAAAATATATAATTTAAAAGGACTTTATTTATCCGTATTATTATGTCTAATACCAGTCCTCCCCCCCCCCCCCAAAAAAAAATATATTATTATACCCTACACCACTTTAGTGGGGAGGGTATATTGGATTTGTGCTGATGTTTGTAACATATAAAAATATTCGTCCTAGACCCACCTTAAAGTATACCAATCGGCTTAGAATCGTTTTCTGAGTCGATTAAGCTATGTCCGTCCGTCCGTCCGTCCGTCTGGCTGGCTGGCTGGCTGGCTGGCTGGCTGGCTGGCTGGCTGGCTGGCTGGCTGGCTGGCTGGCTGGCTGTCCATGTAAACCTTGTGCGCAAGCTACAGGTCGCAATTTCGAGATAATTGGATGAAATTTGGCATGCACGTTTTATTTGACCCAAGGACGAAGCCTATTGAAAATGGTTAAAATCGGTCCATTATTTCACCTAGCCCCCATAGAACAGAACCCCCCGAAAAGGGCTTCTGAGCTCATAATTATGTTAAATATACAGATATATCGATAAAATACGGCACAACTAAGTTTTATAGAAGTCTTGATAACCCTGCCAAATTTCATAAAGATCGGGCCCCATTTGACCCTAGCTCCCATACAAAGTCCCCTTCAGAAAATTACTTGAATGTCCCAAATTAACTTATAAACACAAATATCGCGATGAAATTCAGCACAATTAAATATTATGTAAATATAAATATGTTCACAAAATTTTATCGGGCTTGGTCCATATTTGCCCCTAGCCCCCATATAAAGCCTCTTTCAGAAAATTGGTTTTTCATCCATAAATTGCTTAAATGTATCGGAACAAGGGAATATTGAAGATAAATGCGATATTATGAAAAATAAATCACATTTAATATTCATAACTGGTGTAGGGTATCATATGGTCGGCCACGCCCGACTATACTTTCTTACTTGTTTCTATTTGCATTTATGTAGTAAATTTCAGTTTCAAATATAACAGTCCTACAGTCGCAAACATAAACATTTCAACTGTAAAATTACTTGACAATCGGATTAACTTTATATCTAGTTTTTAACTCACCATCAACAAAAGTGGTCGTATATTGATTTTGTTATTCGATTTGTAACACATTGAAATATTGATTGTATACTAGCTATGTCTTCTTATATGTCTGTCTGTCTGTCTGTCTGTCTGTCCGTTTGTCTGTCTGTCTGTCCGTTTGTCTGTCTGTCTGTCTGTCTGTCTGTCTGCCTATCTGTTTTTCTCTGAATTTATGATACTAACTCTAATGATAGGTATAAAATATTCGGTTTAATTTGTTCCTTTTTTTCTATGTAATAATAATTTTAATATTGTTTATAGACAGTTTAGATTACATGACACAAAAGAATAAATTTTCTATTCATAAGAATAAAAGAAAATAATATCTGAAACATATAAAACCATTTGGTTATTTATGTACTTAAATAAAGTAGTATTTAGTTGATTGTATTTAATTTCTTTGTTTTTAATCGTTTCTTTTAATTTGTAATGAAATAGCTCAAAGATTTCTTGTGTTCTGTTTTTTGTTTCATTATTAAATGGTTAAATAAATATAATTAAGTCCTTTGGGGCGAATAATTTATTAAATTCTTTTACACAAAAGTTTATGATAAAATGTTGAAAAAAGACATTTTCAGCAGAATGTCAACTGCTGCAGTGGGGTGTAATATATCAGTTGTCTAGTGCTTTTCGAACTGAAAGAAGCCAAATACTCTTACTATTGAGAGTTTTTAGTGCAAAATTTTAGGACTCTAATATCTCTGTTATTTAAAGACAGATTTTTCTGATTTTAAATAGAAAACTTTTTGAAAGCATGTTTGACAGAATAATTGCAGATTTGGATCTCGAAGATCCAAAGCCTAATCGACTTCGCTATCTATAAGGGTCTAGAATATATTTTTTTATAGGGTTTGAAAATTATCTTGTGGAAAACAGACTAGACTATAGACTAGACTGTAGACTAGACTATAGACTAGGCTATAGACTAGACTACAGACTAGACTATAGACTAAACTGTAGATTAGACTATAGACTAGACTATAGACTAGACTATAGTCTTGACTACAGACTAGACTCTAGACTATACTATAGACTAGACCATAGACTAGACTATAGACTAGACTATAGACTGAACTATAGACTAGACTATAGACTAGACTATAGACTAGACTATGACTAGACTATGACTAGACTATGACTAAACTATGACTAAACTATTACTAGACTATGACTAGACTATGACTAGACTATGACTAGACTATGACTAGACTATGACTAGACTATGACTAGACTATGACTAGACTATGACTAGACTATGACTAGACTATGACTAGACAATGACTAGACTATGACTAGACTATGACTAGACTATGACTAGACTATGACTAGACTATGACTAGACTATGACTAGACTAGACTATGACTAGACTATGAACGAGACTAGACCTAGACCTATGACTAGACTATGACTAGACTATGACTAGACTATACTAGACTATGACTAGACTATGACTAGACTATGACTAGACTATGACTAGACTATGACTAACTTGACAAGACTATGACTAGACTATGACTAGACTATGACTAGACTATGACTAGACTATAACTAGACTATGACTAGACTATGACTAGACTATGACAGACTAGGACTAGACTATGACTAGACTAGACTAGACCTATGACTAGACTATGACTAGACTATGACTAGACGACTAGACTATGAACTAGACTATGACTAGACTATGACTAGAACTATGACTAGACTATGACTAGACATATGACTAGACTATGACTAGACTATGACTAACTATGACTAGACTATGACTAGACTAGACTAGACTATGACTAGACATGACTAGACTATGACTAGACTATGACTAGACTATGACTAGACTAATGACTAGACTATGACTAGACTATGACTAGACTATGACTAACTAGGACGAACGATGACTAGACTATGACTAGAACTATGACTGACTATGACTAGACTATGACTAGACATGACTAGACTATGACAGACTATGACTAGACTATGACTAGACTATGACTAGACTATGACTAGACTATGACTAGACATGACTAGACTATGACTAGACTATGACTAGACTATGGACTAGTACTATACTAGACTATGCTAGACTATGACTATACTATGACTGACTATGACTAGACTATGACTAGACTATACTACTATGACTAGACTATGAACTAGACTATGACTAGACTATGACTAGACTATGACTAGACTATGACTAGACTATGACTAGACTATGACTAGACTATGACTAGACTATGACTAGACTATGACTAGACTATGACTACTATGACTAGACTAGACTAGACTAGACTAGACTAGACTAGACTAGACTAGACTAGACTAGACTAGACTAGACTAGACTAGACTAGACTAGACTAGACTAGACTAGACTAGACTAGACTAGACTAGACTATGACTAGACTATGACTAGACTATGACTAGACTATGACTAGACTATGACTAGACTATGACTAGACTATGGCTAGACTATGACTAGACTATGACTAGACTATGACTAGACTATGACTAGACTATGACTAGACTATGACTAGACTATGACTAGACTATGACTAGACTATGACGAGACTATGACGAGACTATGACGAGACTATGACAAGTCTATGACTACGCTATGACTAGACTATAGACTAGACTATAGACTAGACTATAGACTAAACTATAGACTAAACTATAGACTAGACTATAGACTAGACTATAGACTAGACTATAGACTAGACTATAGACTAGACTATAGACTAGACTACAGACTAGACTATAGACTAGACTAGTAGACTAGACTATAGACTAGACTATAGACTAGACTATAGACTAGACTATAGACTAGACTATAGACTAGACTATAGACTAAACTATAGACTAGACTATAGACTAGACTATAGACTAGACTATAGACTAGATTATAGACTAGATTATAGACTAGACTATAGACTAGACTATAGACTGGACTATAGACTAGACTATAGAATAGACTATAGACTAGAGACTAGACTATAGACTAGAGTAGTAGACTATACTATAGACTAGACTATAGACTAGACTATAGACTATACTATAGACTAGACTATAGACTAGACTATAAGCTAGACTATAGACTAGACTATATTTTGATAAGCACACCAGGTAAAGCTAGTTTTATGATAAAATATTTAATTCAAAACTACCCACATGTTTAAAATTTATAAAAATTCTACTATTTACTTATACTTACACAATATTAAACGTTAGTTTGTGAAAAAAAAAATAACAACAAAAATCAATTTTAATATAAATAAATTATTTATTTGTTTATAACATAAAATATGGCTTAAAAATAAATTCTAATTACAGTCTATTAATAATAAAATACATTTATACTTACTGGCTAATACTAATTGAAAAAATTTATAAAAAAAAACTAAAATATGAAATTATAAATAGCAAAAAAAATGAGTATTTCAATGAAAATTTTAATTATTTATATTTCAGAAAATTTATATGTATTAACAATACTATGAAATATTTACAAAATTTTGAATTAATTTAAAAGTTTTTTTTTGAGTATTTATTACGTGTCATATGTGTGGATGAGTGTAAGCTAAATGAAATGCTAATCAGTATTTAAATGTGGATTTTAACTATGATTCTATGAGTAATTATTTAAAATCAAAAATTAACAAAAAAATGTTAAAAAAATATATAAAATTAAAATTTATAAATAAAAATTCAAACAATGTTTCACCAATAAATGAGTCATAAGGGCGAGTTATAAATAAAATAAATCACACTTTATACAAAACGTAATAAAAAATTAAAAAAAAAAAATATATTCGAATTGACAAACTTACTAAATAAATGTTTATAATGACTGACTGACTGACTACTGCTTAACTAAATAATAAAATCATTATTATCGTCACCCAACTTATTTGGCTGGTGTATTAGACCATTCCTCCTCGGAGGGTGGCTGATAGTCTAAGGATAATTTTTCAAATTTTGGCATGACATTTGATTGATGTTGCACACCATAGATATCAATGAATTCTGCATCGGGATTAAGTGGTAAATTGGCTGCATCATTGACGGCAATGTCATTGGATAAATCAATTGGTACAACATCGTAGACATCAATATCGTTGCTCAAATCATTTTGCTCATTAGTTGGCTCATTAAAGCTGCCCCATTCGTCATTGAATGTGGGTGGCATTTCAGGAGCGTTGGCATCTTCATCATCTGAAGATGATTCGTCTTCGCGTTCTTTGTTGCGTATGGCAGCGGAATAATTTGAATATTTCATTTTCTTCAAATTGACAATTTCAATATCGGCTTTGGCTTCATCTGCATCTGAATCTTCATCGTCATCGCCATTATTATCATTATTCTCTTGCTCCTTGTCAGAGTCATCATCTTCAACATCAGTGTTGTTGTTGTTGTTGCTACTTGATGATTCATTTAAATTGTCATTTACTTCCTCTTCTATATCCTCATTATTTTCAATTGTATGTTCAACTTCTGGATTTTCCTCATTGTCAATATTGTCGTTATTGTTGTCGTTGTCCTCAGACATATTGGTTTCAAATTCGTTATTTCCGTTTCCGTTGGCTTCATACAACTCTTCCTTAGTCATGGCTGCAGCTGAGTATTCCTCCAACTCCTTCTGTTCTTGTTGTTGTTCAAGACTTTTGTCTGTAACAAATGCAGCGTTTATGTCTTCTGTTGTTGGCAACAATGTTGTTGTAGTTTCAACAATGTTTTCCTTTTTATTTTTTGAGTGCTGTTGTTGTTTGTTTTTATTACACAAAAAATTTTTTTTTGTTATAAAATATTTTTTAGTTTGTTTGTGATTTAATGATAATGTTGTGTGTGCCCAAGTTGTTGTTAGATGAAAGGTGCATAAGAAAATAGAAAGAAAATTTAATTTAATATTAATTTATTGACAATTATTTAACTTTTTCTTTATTTTTAAAAATAAAACAATTTTACAAGAAAAAAATATACTTTTTAATTTAAATTCTTTACCTTAACGTGCGTTAGTAATATGCGTTATTAAACTTGCCGGCTTGAAATTTTAATAATTTATGTTATTTTTAAACAAGTTTCATTGTTTATTTATATTGTTAGTTAAAAGAGAGAAAAACAAAATAAAGTAAGAGAAAGAATTATATATACAAAAGCTTAAACTAGACAAAGCTTTGTAAAAGCTATTTCCTATAACTTACTCTTTAAGTAATATTTTCATGAGATTTTTTCTTAAATTTTTTTTGATTCTCTTTATTTGTCTCAATTAATCACTGCTCTTGAAAAGTACCAATCAAGAACTGATCGCTTAAATTAACCTAGACCTCTGATATCATTGTGTTCATAGCTGATATTAGCGATGGTCTCATGTCAAACCCTTACGAACAGGCATTTTTTAATCATGAGAAATTGACTTACAAAACTTAATAAACAACAACGTTTGTAATCTTGTTTTCATTATCCCAAAAACCTAACTTAGAAGTAGGTACTCAGTACCGCAATTCAGTAACTTTTTAACTACAAAATTTTGTCGTTAAATAGTATAAATTCGTAAGTTAACAATAATTGTCGTTATGTGGTATTCTGAATTTTATTTCACCGATTTTTTTCGTTAAACAAAATCATTAGTTAACGAAAAGTATCGGCAATATAACGACAAATAAAAAGTTCACGTTAATAATTTTATATTTTAAAAATATTTCAATACAAAACTTTTGACATTCTCATATTTTTCCGACGTTTGTCGTTAAAATATTCAACCGATATTTGTCGTTACTTTACGATATCGGTAGTTAAAATTAAAAAATTACAGAATTGCGGTACAGATAATGAACTAGTCTGTTGCCAACTATTTAGTTTACTATATTGACTAGAAAGGACCAAGCATGGAAAATTGAAATTTTGAAAAAGTACATAGTATAGACAAAACTATATACTACATAGACTAGATTATAGACTAGACTATGGACTATACTATAGACTATAATATAGACTATACTATAGACTAGACTAAAATATAGACTATACTATAGTCTAGTCCAGCGGTTCCCACCGTTTTTTACTTCGCGGACCCCTTGAGGAATTTATTTAATTTCACGGACCCCCATACATATTTTGATATCTTATTGTTATAAATAACACTGTGATACAAAAGTGAAGAAAAATAAAATGCAGGCGTTCTCATATACCAATTCTATTTCGTTATAGTCCATAGAGTACGAATATATTTTTAGTTTTCCCCTATCACTTCGTTAACTTACTTTTTAAGAGCAAAAGATGCGAAAAAGAGCCATTTTTGAAGTTTTAAATTTGTAGTAGTAGTTTTCATCCGATTTTCATCCGATATTTTTTTTAATGATACAAGTGTCTTTTAATCCAAAAAAAGAAATCCAAAATTTATGGTCAAATGTCTGAGTTACGGTCGTTTAAGTAAAAAAACTCACACTTTCATTCATTTCATCATGCTCTACTTTGACCATGAGGCAGTGAGTTCATCTTTTATTACTTTCCTGAAGAATCACATAAAGGAAGGTTTCTAAAACTTGTTATTTCATAAAAATCTACGAAAAACTGGATGATTTATGCCAATTTTTCTAATAGCATGTTTCTCGAATTTTTGGTTTTCTCCATACAAATTAATTTTTGTATAAAAATGTTTATAAACATTTTTTAAACTTGTTACAAAGAAAACCAGAAACATGAACGTTTTTGTATGGAAGAAATATGCTATATTTTTATAAAACTTAGCACAACTCATAACCTTTTTCATCGATTATCATAAATTGACCATCATTGGAAACCCAACTTAATGTGCCTTTTTTCAAATGTAATAAAAGCTAAAGTTACTGCTTCATGGCCAACGTAGAGCAGTATGAAAATTAAAAATTGTGAAAAAAGTGTGAGTTTTTTTACTTAAATGGCCGTAACCAAGACATTAATCATAAATTTTGGATTTATTTTTTTGGGTTGAAAGACAACACTTGTATCTTTAAAACAAAATATCCAATTTGAAAATCGGTTGCAAACTACCAAACATATATTTTTTTTAAAGTTAAAACTTCAAAAATAGCTCTTTTTCACAACTTTTGCTCTTAAAAAGGAACTAAACGAAGTGATCGGGAAAAATTAAAAATAAATTCCTACTCTATGGACTATAACGAAATGGAATTGGTATATGAGAACCCCTGCATTTTTTTGCTGTATCACTGTGTAATTGTTCGTCCGAAAATTGTCTTAGTCCTGGTCCATAAACCCTATAAAATATTCCCGTACATTGAGAACATTTAGTATTTCGGAGATGTTTTCAATTTCATGGTTTTAAATATAGAATGACTTATAACACGATGTTTAATTTTATGATCGTGAGAGCTTTCATGTTCATTTCTCGTCAAGGTAGAGAAAAGGTTTCTTTAACAAGTATTGTCAACATGTGCTTAAAGAGTCATGTTTCTAAATTTTTTTGCGATTGCATAGGAGTAAGCTGAGTATGTAAGCTAAGTTTTCGGGAAAATATGTGAAAGTTAGACTTCTTCGATGTTGTTGCGGAATGCGTTACCCACATAAAATATGACCGGAACTCTTTGCGAATGTACTGTGAATTTGGATCTTAAATTTGAATTTTAAAATACCTACGAATTATTTTACTGCGTGGTTTTGACTATTTACGCAAAACGCTATGAATTTTCTGATGTTGATTTAATAATATTGGACAACAAAATGAAGTTAAAATCTGTGTATCACGTTGGAATGGAATATTTATATTTAAAATTAACTAGATTAACACTTTTGCTTACAATTTAAAAAAATATTATAAAATGTGACCTAACTTCATATTCCGGGATACCAGTATCAGTATTTAATTCTAAGGCAAATCATTATCCGTCTGCTATAAAAACATTTATTTCGATACATATATATTTATAAAAATTACAAATCACGTAATACTTTACTTTATAAAAGTGAAACAATAAATTTGTAGGGCCTAGCTTCATCCTGATAAACGACCGAAACAATAAAATTGAAAGAGTCACCAACAAATCTGGGATTATTGAATAAAAATTGTGTATTTTAGTATTTATGAAAAAGTTTGGAGATATTTTTAATATTTTGTAACATATAGAGAATATTTTTTATTCATGATTTTTTTCGTTCGTCTTCGCGGACCCCCTAGGATTTTGCTACGGACCACTAGGGGTCCGCGGACCCCCTTTTGGGAACCGTTGGTCTAGTCTATAGTCTAGTCTATAGTCTAGTCTATAGTCTAGTCTATAGTCTAGTCTAGTCTAGTCTAGTCTAGTCTATAGTCTAGTCTATAGTCTAGTCTATAGTCTAGTCTATAGTCTAGTCTATAGTCTAGTCTATAGTCTAGTCTATAGTCTAGTTCTATAGTCCTAGTCTATAGTCTAGCTATAGTCTAGTCTATAGTCTCGTCTATAGTCTAGTCTATAGTCTAGTCTATAGTCTAGTCTATAGTCTAGTCTATAGTCTAGTCTATAGTCTAGTCTATAGTCTAGTCTATCGTCTGTCTAGTCTTAGTCTAAGTTGTCTATAGTCTAGTCTATAGTCTAGTCTATAGTCTAGGTCTATAGTCTAGTCTATAGCTCTAGTCTATAGTCTAGTTCTATAGTCTCGTCTATAGTCTAGTCTATAGTCTATGTCTATAGTCTAGGTCTATAGTATAGTCTATAGTTCTAGTTCTAATAGTCTAGTCTATAGTCTAGGCTCTAGTCTAGTCTCTGTCTAGTCTATGTTCGTCTATAGTCTAGTCTATAGTCTAGGTCTATAGTCTAGTCTATAGTCTAGTCTATAGTCTAGTCTATAGTCTAGTCTATAGTCTAGTCATTCGTCTAGTCTATAGTCTGTCTATAGTCTAGTCTATAGTTCTAGTCTATAGTCTAGTCTATAGTCTGTCTATAGTCTAGTCTATAGTCTAGTCTATAGTCTAGTTCTATAGTCTAGTCTAGTCTAGTCTATAGTCTAGTCTATAGTCTAGTCTATAGTCTAGTCTATAGTCTAGTCTATAGTCTAGTCTATAGTCTAGTCTATAGTCTAGTCTATAGTCTAGTCTATAGTCTAGTCTATAGTCTAGTCTATAGTCTAGTCTATAGTCTAGTCTATAGTCTAGTCTATAGTCTAGTCTATAGTCTAGTCTATAGTCTAGTCTATAGTCTAGTCTATAGTCTAGTCTATAGTCTAGTCTATAGTCTAGTCTATAGTCTAGTCTATAGTCTAGTCTATAGTCTAGTCTATAGTCTAGTCTATAGTCTAGTCTATAGTCTAGTCTATAGTCTAGTCTATAGTCTAGTCTATAGTCTAGTCTATAGTCTAGTCTATAGTCTAGTCTATAGTCTAGTCTATAGTCTAGTCTATAGTCTAGTCTATAGTCTAGTCTATAGTCTAGTCTATAGTCTAGTCTATAGTCTAGTCTATAGTCTAGTCTATAGTCTAGTCTATAGTCTAGTCTATAGTCTAGTCTATAGTCTAGTCTATAGTCTAGTCTATAGTCTAGTCTATAGTCTAGTCTATAGTCTAGTCTATAGTCTAGTCCTATAGTCTAGTCTATAGTCTAGTCTATAGTCTAGTCTATAGTCTAGTCTATAGTCTAGTCTAGAGTCCTAGTCTAATAGTCTAGTCTATAGTCTAGTCTATAGTCTAGTCTATAGTCTAGTCTATAGCTAGTCTATAGTCCTAGTCTATAGTCTAGTCTATAGTCTAGTCTATAGTCTAGTCTATAGTCTAGTCTATAGTCTAGTCTATAGTCTAGTCTATAGTCTAGTCCTATAGTCTAGTCTATAGTCTAGTCTATAGTCTAGTCTATAGTCTAGTCTATAGTCTAGTCTATAGTCCTAGTCTATAGTCTAGTCTATAGTCTAGTCTATAGTCTAGTCTATAGTCTAGTCTATAGTCTAGTCTATAGTTCTATAGTCTATCTATAGTCTAGTCTATAGTCCTAGTCTATAGTCTAGCTTAGTCCTAGTCTTAGTCTAGTCTATAGTCTAGTCTATAGTCTAGTCTATAGTCTAGTCTATAGTCTAGTCTATAGTCTAGTCTATAGTCTAGTCTATAGTCTAGTCTATAGTCTAGTCTATAGTCTAGTCTATAGTCTAGTCT